TTTGAAATCAAACAATAATAGTGTTCATAATAATAGTTCACTAACTTTGTCAATTATCTGTTTTGTGGCCACAGTTCTTTGTTTGCTTTCACTTGAAAGTTTAATCCCCCAACTTGAGAGCCACCTACAATGACATCATTTTCTAGTTTTCATTGTTTGGTGAATTATCATTATCATACAATGTGTAAAATCATTGGCATGTATAATTCATGGGAATACATTGTAGCAGATTTTCTGACAAACCTTCTAATGTTTCTGATTTTGTTCCAGGGGATTCCAAGTTCAGATTTAAATGCCAAACCTTCTCCTGGATGAATGTTAACACTCAGACCAGCCTGATTTATTGGGAGAAATATAATATTTACACTATACATGCATCAGGAGTTTCAGCTTACAACCACGAGGGCAATGCATTATGGGGCGAGCTCATGAAAAAGTGAGCACCAAACCGTGACAACAAAGTGACAAAGCCGCCACGCGAACCTATTATTAGCGTAATTCATCAAGTTTTTTAAGACTCTTTACAATTATTGCTTTGTTTATTGCCCTGATATCGATCTCAAAGACACCCACAATACTGAAGATTAGGTACAGCAAAGGTATTCGATGGTTTAGGCCAGGTAAGACTTGAAAATTTTATATTTTGTTTTGACAACAAGCCGGACGTGAGAAATATTTTCGTAAGTCTTTTGCCGGAGAATTTTTGTCGATATATTTATATTTTTTAGATTCACACTAGACATGGGATTTGGTCACAGGAATTGTGTTGTAGTAGGCTGCAATAACAGTGGAAAAAGCCTCCACAAATGGGCATCTCAACAATGTGAAATACATAGCTGTTTACGTGGGACATCGCCTTGCGACTGTCCCCCACCTTTTAAGCTTTTTCCCTTTCCGACTGAGCTTAAACACAACGAAGCCAGAAAGCGCTGGACGAAACTTATTAAAAGAGAGGAATCAAATGGAAAAGTGTGGCTACCAAAAAAGGCTTCGAGAGTTTGTAGTGAGCACTTTGTTGATGAGAAACCTACTGAAAACAACCCCGATCCGATCTTAAAATTGGGCTACGACTTTCAAGTACCAAAGAAACGAAAGCTGCCGACTGAAAGGCCCTTATTATCAGTAAAACGTCCAAAACACTCGAGTCAAGAGTCAAGTGCTAGTGAATCAATTCCTACTACTGTGGAACCTGACGACTCACCTGAAGTGACTTTAACATCATGCTCCGAAGAGATTCCCGTCAACTACGAATGTTCCAACTATAGCTCTTCTACAATAACAACGAGCAATCTTGCAGAAGAACAAAATACTGAAAGGCCGTGGCATATTATACACGACCATGCGTATTCATACGGCTGGTATGAAATGGAAAACTCTGATTTCTGTACTGATGAAGTCTGTTTAAAAGTGAGACGAGATCAACACGCTGAAATAAATAACTTGAGAGAAAGAGTTGCTGCACTAGAGGATGAAATTGAGTTTTACAAAATCAAGGTGAATGCTTTAAAAAACAAAGGATTGAGGCACTCAGACTTAAAAGATGATAAAACAGTGCGAAATCTAACGGGAATCCCAACAAAAGAATCGTTTCATAAGATGTTTAATTTAACAAAGAGAAATATCAAAAAAGTTCACTTTTGGAGTGGCCCTTCAAAATCTACCAAGAAAGGTAGAACATTCAAAAGATCACCGAAAAAATTCGGACCTCAGCGTGTACTGCCTCAGAAAGACGAATTTCTGCTCACTCTCATGAAATTACGCTTAGGCTCGACGAATGTTGACTTGGCACAAAGATTTGGTGTGTCAGACACAACTGTGTCAAACATCTTCACGACGTGGATTAAAATTCTAGGGAAGAAACTGCGATGTCTGGTTTATAACCCCTCCATTGAAGTTGTAAAGGCAACTTTACCAGATAAATTCAAAAAACCAGGATTTTCCAATGTAAGACATATTATTGACTGTACCGAGATATTTATTGAAACACCTAGTGACCCATTTACCAGAGCTGCTACTTGGTCTGATTACAAGCATCATAACACTGTCAAAATATTGGTATCCATTACTCCTAATGGTGCTTTTAACTTTGTGTCCAAAGCATGGGGTGGAAGGACATCTGATGTTCATGTCACAAAAGAATGCTCTTTCTATGATACCTTAGAGCCATATGATGAAGTTATGGCAGACCGAGGCTTTACAATAACAGAGGACCTACTTCTCCGAAATGCCAGGCTACATATACCCCCTGGAAAAAGAGGCCAAGAACAGTTCACAAAGGCTGAGGTCAAGAAAACAAAGGCAATAGCAAATCTCAGAATATTTGTTGAGCAAGCTATAAGGAGAATGAAGACTTTCAGACTAATTAAGAATGAACTACCCATTTCACTACTCAGCAATATTGATGACATTATTATTGTTTGTGCAGCTTTATGCAATTTGTATAAACCTTTGGCAAAGTAAAAATAAAAATGAATGGTCATATACTGTAGAATGCAAACACAAAAACCATAAAATAGTTACTTAAATATTTCTTAACTGCAAAAGTGAAATTTCTTTCTTTTCCATTGTCTATCCTACACTGTTTATCACTACTTTGTTAGTGCTTTTTCATGCTTTTAGTGTTTGCAGTCCAAAAGAGTACACATGCCAACAGTGTATAACACTAATCACTTTTTACTGGTGAATACAGTGAATGAAGAAATAGAAAATGATGGAACTTGCATAGGTAGCCACTATTTTATGAAATATTGATGTTGCAATTTTTTAGTGTTTGAACTATAATGCTCCAGTTAAAGTCAACAAATCACAAACTTGAAAATGATATGACAGCTATGATTATCATGTGCCATTATGCAGTGCCAGCATTTAACAAATAAATCATAAAACCAAGTAAGATTCTTCTCAAGTGCACTCCAGTATGCTGCGTCAAATTCAATCCGTTTAATGTCGTTTAATGTTGGCTGAACAGGAACCCCCATCTCTGAAGCGGCAAATACCCTCGCAACAAGTTCTGCCTTCGAACCAGATACCTTGAGGTTTCTTTTGCGGCAAAACTCCTTGAGTGCATCGACATGCCACGTGCGAACTTCTTCGAGCGAAAGCTCGTTCGACTCACTCATTTTCCGCCTTTAAACCCAGCAAATAATTGTTTTAAAACGTTGAACCTACAGCAGCGTAATTTAAGATGGCCTACGTATACAACTGACTGCTTGAAATGACTTAGATAAATCAAAACTACGAGAAGAGAGAAGTAAACTACAATTTAACAGATTCAAAATGGCGGCTTTGTCACGGTTTGGTGCTCACTTTTTAATGAGCTCGCCCCATAATGCATTGCCCTCGTGATTGTAAGCTGAAACTCCTGATGTATGTATACAGACATTCAAGTGTGCATTTGATTCTAGTCTTTTTTATTTGTATCACACAGCTTCAATGTAAATAAGAGTAAT